ATCGCAGTGAGTGGCATTCTCGTGGGTTATCTTACTGTAGACAACAGAGGACGGCTTGACTATAAAATGATCTGAACTGCCAAGGGGTGCCTGATTGCCGATCGAAACATCTTCAGAGTTGCCTTTAACCTGGTGGGACATTTTCCAATATTCTGTCGCCCAAGCGTTGTAAGGAACATGGTGTTGAATCTGTTGCAATTATCGGCCCGGTATGCACAAGGACTGGTCGATTTTCCCAATAACAACAGCCGTACAATCATCGTAAACCTTGTCTGTTTCTGAAATGGAACAGCCGAGAGGTATATAAATAGTGATCGGTAATATTGAGCTGTATCTATTCAGATATTTTGGCTTACACTTTAGGACCAAGCAGTCGATACGTCGTGATGAGTAGCAGAAGTTTTTTCCCAATAGGCACCAAGAAGCATTAATAAAGTTTACAACGCCACCGCCATTATTCCGGTAGGTGTATGAACGGTCAGCACGAAAACAAATAAAACGGTTAATGCCATGAACAACATCTTCAGCATCTTTACGGAGTACTGTCACTTGCAGCATAACGATGCCTAGTTATGCGTATTCACGACAGTAGATAGTGCTTTTATGGTCTGTAGTTTTTCTCAGGAAGGAACGGACGTTAGCGATTGGAAAAGTGGGTATGCTCGCTCGTATTAGTCCCGTTTTTCATCCTAAAAGCAACTTTCCACCCCGCACGAAGCTTTTCTATAGATTTATTCCGTTTTTGCACTTTCTTCTTACTTTATTCCTGGTTGATCGATTATCGTTATTAGCTTGCGGGTGTAGTTTGTCATCGTACTGATTGCGGAACAAAACAGCAGGTGAATCAAACAATGGGTTTTTAGGAAGTATCGTCGAAAGCGTGTGTGTCAATAATTCCCTGGGTGATCAAAACGTAGAGCACAACCCAATTTGTAGTCCACACCTAGTTAGAATCTCCCGAGCGTCTAGCAGCTTTTTTTAGCTATTTATTTGTCCGGCACTGACCATACGGATGATTTTACTGAGTTTCTGATTTCACGATGTTTGCAGAACTCCCATGTGACCGATAGAGAATGTGAGACGGAAACTTCCAGTACTATTTGGAACACCTGAGGCCGCTGCAAGTCATCCGCACCACAGGTCTAAGAAAGTCTACAAACGTTAGCAGTTAATTCGCTCTTTGTGCGAAACGTTTCAGTGGACAATCCAACCAACCGACGATGCTGCTACTGCTTACCACACCAAATGAATTTTATTTAGACACTAATATGTCGGCTGTCAGCATCGGGGAAATCCATGGTAGACGCGTTGCTAATGCAGAGCCGTACAACTGCATCCTGCAGCTTGAAGACACCACTGAATTATTGGTGATTTATCATTCTGTTCGACCCTCTCAGACTGGTGATTATCAACCGTCACCCTTATTTTGGTAGAAATCACTGAGGCATTGGTTTCGTTAATGTTATCTCCAGATTTTCGACTAGGGCCACACACTACGACTACTCGTTGATCCTCGTGAGAGTCGATTCGACAGAAGCCTCTGTAGTATGCGCATCGATCAGACACTTCTTGTCAGCTACATGCCTGAACAAAACCTCGCATTAACGCTATCTATCTTGGTGTTTTTCTTTTACTCGAATACCATTTTTATGTCTGACTCCACCCATGTGTAGGTGCGCTGAACCTATTTCTTTTCTAAACTGCGACTATATTGTCCTTATATCAATCGGTGACCGAAAGAATTATGCGCTTGCCTTGTTTTTCGGAGGTCACCGGTTCGAATCTGCGTACTGACGGAAGACCTCGTCGTATACCCAGTCCACACTTGACTGGCGGCGCTCTTTATGTGGGTCTATCAATACCCCTCTGCTGAATTTGATACGACTTTCATAATGGGCCAGATTCGCAGGGATTCTTTTTATCCTCTACTTGGTGCTTGTGGTGACCATGAACATCCCTACACTGTTTTTCCACCAATTCAATTGCCAAACTTGGAATGCGCGAATGCTGTATGCCCGCCTATAAATTCTGCGTGCTTTGGGATTTGCTTCTTGCATTCAAAGTACAAAGCCTGCTGCATTACCGATCCGATACATCATCGTTCTTACGGTCAGTGAACACTTATCGGCGTGGGGAACCGGTTCATGTAACTAAGTTGTTATTTCAATTATGGTGTTCAAACCACGAAAATACTACGAGCCTCGGTCGACCCCTGTAATTTCCAAATTTCCCGCCACCTTTAATTATGTTGTGTTACTATCGTTTTGGTAATATGTGAAGGGTACAGTGTTGTGGTATTTCCAACTCCCCTTTATGGACCCCATAAGTGTCACGGTATTCCCATGTTTGCTACGTATTGATGGCAATAATAACTTGATTGTTTCGTGAAGATTCATCACAGTTAGACTCAAGCAGACAGCCACCACATATCCAGGAAAGCTCTACACGGCCGTTTCGTCCTATTGGGACTCGTCACTAGCGCGCTCCCACCAAATCCTGCCGGATTCGAACCCACGACCTTACCCTTGCGAGCCAAGATATCCCCATACTACTTATACATTGCTTGCGTTTGACCACCGGTGTCTTCGCTACACTACTCTATCTGGTAGTGAAAACACCTGAGCACGTTGTGCTAAAGTCCACTAGCAGCGGACGGCCTTTATCACTCGAACTGCCAACATTAGTTGGATCAAATCCCCTGCCTTCCTGAGCGCGTTTTCTTACCATTTTTACGTCTGGCTAAGATGAGTAGTGTAGTGATGCCCCCAACCGGCTCCACCCCGCACGGTAATCAGCCCGACCGAAATTTGTAGTGCGTTGGGTGAAGCTAAGCTACTACACACATCTTAACCAATTAAATTATCGAAGATGCTGATTACTATCGATTAACACTACTCAACCCGGTTCAGTTCTGAATTGAACTTTGCTGTTGCACCCCGCATAGATTAGCATTCAATTTCTCATTGAGTGAAATATCTTAATTGTCGATCGATCCGTGATTCGCTCACCTCGTATGTTTAACAAGTAGCATAGTTTTCACTGGCAGAGAGGAACTAACCACGAAACTTACCTTTTTGGTTCAGGCGCTCGTGATTTGCCACACTCGTTTTCGGATTCCCCGTTGCTATGCTGATTACTTTTTTATCTGACCTATTACAACTTTTACACTTTTACATTTCAGTTCATTTGAACAACTTTGATCCGAGCATCGAAATGCGGTGGATCCAGTTGCCACGGCTCACATCGCAAGCAAAACAATAAATACCTACGACAAGATAATAAGTTTGGGTGCGAATAGAACATAGCGAAAATTAAAACAAAATGTAAATGCATTAGATTAATCAGAATAGAAGGAGAGTTAACAATCAGATGCAAAACAGCGAATGCAGGAACGCCACTGAATTCGTGACGGCACCATGTCTGATAAGCTCTCCAACCGTTAGTGTGGACGGTCCCGTGGTCCCATCGACGAAGACGGTGCGCACCATCCTGACCAAATCTCTCAGTCAATTTTTTCAAGCTTCTATACCCCCCTCGAGGTTTCGCCCAACTTGGTGCAACCACGTCGTATAATGCACGCCAAGGAAGCCGGTCAACTGGCATACAGAGGACATGGTCTAGCCAACGCAAGCGATTGAGATTTAGCAAACATTCGAGTGACGCACCATAAGGCTTTTTGCCGAAAACCAACTAGCGGACCACAACATTGCTCATCCGGTGTTCCCACCAAACGTGAGCAATACTCCGCAAGCGCTGATGGTCAAACACGGCGAAGCTTTTAAGGTCTTCCTCAGTGATGTGACCACCAGAAGTGACAGCTATCCTTCTTTTGCATTATCGTACTTTCTCTTACCACACCATACTTTGCGATTCACTGCGCATTGACTTATCCATTTGTCAACCATTTTGCTTGATATTATTTGCCCCGGTGATATAGATTATGCAACCTATGTGCTCGGGGCTTGACTGAGCTCACTGCATCGTTTTAATCGGCTCAATGCAACCTGTCGTATTTTAGATTGACTAAAAAGGTTTCATTCGCTTGTACCCATTACGTGTCGAAACGTTTTGTGCTTTAAATATGTCGGGAAATCCTCAGAAACAACGCTGCTGCTGTACTCATCGCGTACCATACCCTTAATTCATTACAGCTTGTTTCACGCGATTCCCCCAAGGTCCACTGGTACTGAGTTTCAATGTTTGCTTCTTTCCAAGCGGACAATCTAATGCCGCATTTCGTTATTGAACCCGGTTCGCTCACGTCGACTGATTCCTGTCCTCCGCGTGCCTGTTAGGTAGCTGCTATGCTGCATATTCTTTTATCAGGCCCGAGTTGGCCAGTAACATGGCAACGGATCATGAGGAAATTCGTCGATGGACTATGTTGGGTTGATCTTTGTGATCCTGACGATTGATAGCCTCCATGGCTATATATCCCATCAAAAGTTCCGCGATCGCGAACTCAGCTATGCTTTCGAATTCGTATCCCATTCCATTTAATAGCTTTAGATTTTAACCTCTGTTCCTGTTGTTATTTCGCTACGCGAGTCGACGCGACTGAATCCACCTTCTGTCTGGTGCACAGATCGTGACTGTCCGGCCGACATTTTAATCTCTCCTGTACATCTTCCTTCCGCCTTTCTCCCACTTTGGCTTATTTTTAGGTACCCTAGCGGTATTCCGTTTGCGGTTGAACGCCAACGAACGGTCCGTTATCTACTTTTGCGAGCCTCTTTTTCCTCCACATCGCAAAAAACCTACTTACTTGATCCAGTGGGTCATATTGAACCACTTGTTGTGTGAATGAATTGCGATGCGCAAACTCATTGTGTCCGCGATTCACATTGAAGTGGATCTTGGTCAATTTGATGACTGGGATGGTAGCTGAAGCTGAGGAATGCTGGGTGGTTGCATCTTTTTTTTCTATTGCGAACGAATACCCCAGCTAATTATTTAATAACCAAATTCTCTCCTTGTTTTCTGAATGTTTTTCTGTTTAGAGCCTCTCAACGACATCAGTTGCTCCGTTTCGGTCGCGATTTTTACGACGAGAGGTGGTCCAGGCGTCGTTGCGTCACTGCATTGGACTGGTCTCCCACCTTTCCCGAACTGCTACTGGGAGCCTATCATTCCAATGAAGATGCGCCCCACGAACCGCACGGAGTGTGCTTAATTTGGAATTTAAAATTTCAGAAAACTAGTCCGGAGTATATCTTTCATTGCCAATCTCCTCTCACCTCTGCGACACTGGCCTCGTTTCATCCCAATTTGGTGATCGGTGGCACGTACTCCGGACAGATTGTCCTTTGGGATAACCGGTGAGTACTTGTGCGTCCTCCAGATTTCTCACGCCTCTAACTTTCTATTCATCTTCACTTGTCTGCTGTCTGCCTCGGTCTGGCACTCATCATCAAGTGATATCTCTGATTTGGCCTACTCCTCGATACTTTTCTCAGATTACCTCCTTAGATGCCACGCATACCTTTAAACCAACCTCCATCCAGGAAAGCGGCACGTCTGTCTTCATATCACTGCCACACTTACACGTGTCAGCCGCTGTAATCTTCAAGTGCCAGATGCCGTATCTCGGGCGTTGCTTCCCGTACGCTAGAGCGCACATCGCTCCTTTAGAGCAACCCTGCATAACACAGAGTCCAGGACGTAATGATTTATCGCCCATGAGTCTTGGTCGGAAACTATTCTCTCACCGACTTTTGTTGGTACCGCTCAACTGCGAGGCTAGCAACGTTTTTTGAATCTGCTACGAGGCTTCTTCTCGGTTGTAAACTGTCTCAGATATCCATGCGGAATCAACATCCACACCTCAGCTTACGCGATTTCATCGTTACTATCAGTTAAATGTATGCAACAGAACCTACAAGCCTAAGCGCTACCTAACCTTCGGTAAAGTTTCACATGTCCAACCTCTGACCTCGACATTTCTTGTGGGTCTCGCTTTTTAAGTTTATTTTTAACTTCACTCTCGAATCGGATTTTCAACAGGAATCACCCACATGTGTGGCTTAAGAGTGCTTGGAGATTAACCATATTTACGTGCTCGTCCTTCCTGCTGCCATCTTCTGTTCTGTGTTTGTGTGGCACTGTGATCTCCCTTTGAACTCATAATTGCGTTTTATTACATGTTATCTTCAGAGATCGTTAAATCTTCGTCCGGTTACGCCTTATTTCTCCCCGACACTAATCTTTTCTGTACAACATTGAACTAGCATATATCATCATCCACTGAGACATTCGCTCAGGTTTCTCACACTGAAAGCTCTACTTTGAGTGAATGTTGCTCTGTAATTCAGTTCAATTGAGCGACTGGCCCATGCGCCAATGTACGGTGGATCTAGCTGACTTTACTCTTGTTACCATACGTTAACAATAATCAGTATGCCAATGACGAAGAGACTGAACTTTAATGTGATGCACTAGTTTGTACAACTCCGTGACCCATTGAGCTACGCTGGGTCGTATTCACTCCTCACGGGTTATTGTTTTGTGCGACTGCCCGCACTGTACTGTACGGTCCCGAAACTTGGTCTGTTCGTACCGTTAACTTGCACCGTCTGCCTGCGAGCACCATTGCTTACGGTTCATTGGTCGTGTGTAGTGGCTACACCACATAACCAATGTGGAACTTAAACATCGTATTTTGGGTGTAGGCATCCACTATCTCGAGAACCTCTTCCCGCTGCGTCAGCTGCGGTAGCTTGGACGCATATTGAGCATGCCCGCTCATCGTCTTTCGCGTCGGGCGTTGTTCGCGGTGGACAACCTACGAATTGGAGAAGCGGCATGAAAGAGTTGACAAAACAGTTGGCCTCGGTCGATTGATCTCGACTCCCTGATTGGGATTGGTTGGTAACGCTGGAACCCATGACTCAAGACCAACGTCAATGGCGGATATGTATCTCTGCAACTTGCAGTGATTTCCATTCCTAAACAAAACTAACAATTAAAAATTGGCTTAACAACTGTGAATGAAAAACCCAACTATATGGTGCATGCCTTTTCCTTATTTCTATGCGATTTATTATTCCGCCATGATTTCGATGGCGCGGTATCTGTGTATCTGTATCTGTGGTATACAGTAAACCTCCGTAAGTTGACCACTCAAGGGACTGGACCAAAGTGGTCAACGTACGGAGGTTGTATGCCAAGACTTAGGGTAACCTATTTTCCCGTTATGAGTTGTATAGTAATAAATTTGTTTTCACAGAAGCCCGTTTCGAACACATTACACGAGGTCTCGCAACGACAAACGTGGCTCAACCATACAGTGTTATAATACATCAAAACGCAGTGTGCATTACGCAAGTTAAATCACTTTTTTGAAGAAAAATATCAATCTTTGTTTATCTTTTATCACAAAGGTAACTGAAGAAAGCCCTTTCAGCACGAGCTACACTACTCAGCATGTTTTCACATTTTGTGCACAGTAAATTATTTCAGTTACGTATTACGACGTCTGACTTCATATCTTTCGAAACCTCTGTGATTTCCAAGTCGTCGTCACTCAGTCCTTTTCTTCTTCCCCATCAGCCTAATCAGGTGCTTACTCTTTGTTTCCATAGGGGTGTACACCAGTCAGTATTTTTTGGAAAATAGCATCGGGATCTGGTTTAGTGCAAGTTATCGAGCCATCAACCATTTCAACAAACTTTAAAATCTGTTCCGTCGAATTCTACTAATGAAGGTGGGATGTCTAATAAGGCGACGGCATCCTACTCGAGTGGTTAAACAAATCCGGCTTTTCTGAATCACTTCTGTATTATTTCTGATTGAACTATGAACCAAACGGAACTTGTCCAAAGCGCAGCATCCAAGGCCTTAACTGCAGAAATAAAAGTAGTCCCTTCCGCATGAGAATCATTAGTTTGTAATTTTACCATGGCCCATTGCACCAACTGGGCTTGGTAGTGCTTTTTGAATTTCTTGGTGATCCCCTGGTCCGGAAATTGAATTTATGAGGTAATATTTGGAGGCAGAATCTTAAGCGTAATATTTGTGAGATTTTTACATGGGTGTAACTAAAACACTTGTCCACTGTTAGGATAATGAAGCGTTGCTTTTTTATTATTTTTTGTCCATACTTTTGATCCACACCTCATATATGGCGGCAGTCATCCACGTAGATCGGTTTGATCTCCAGCTGACTGGAAGGTTTTCAGGATTTAGGTTTTCGAACGTACGTTGTCCAGCTGATTTACCAATGACCAGGAACTTTAGTTTCCCCTCATCTAACCTAGCACACAACAGAACTGTGAAAATGTTCTTTGGAATATTTTCCACCCTTGCATTTATTCTTACAAGGCTTCTGTTAGGCATCCCCTTGTAAAAGAGACCGCAATAGTCAGTGTTAAAAATATCGTCGTTTTGAAAAATTTTCCATGCAATCTTAAACAAACTCTTCAGGCACTTCATTTGATGCATCACGTAAATTTTTTTGGGAAATTTCATGTAGTGGTTTATCTTTTTCTACTTATTCATTGGATGCATGGAAATCTACAACTTCAAATTCTTGTGCGAACCATTTAGAAACTTCTTGAATCATCGGTCCAGCAATTCGCACATTAGCTGCCATCATTTGCTAGAACCTAGACAGCTTAGCCTCATTTACTTTCTCGTGTGAAGTTTACCGCCTCTTCCGTTGTAGATCACCTCTTACATTCTCATATCTCCACGTACTCGTGTTTATGTCTTTGCATGTTACTAACTGTTGTCTTGATAGCACCAAAGTGCTCTGCCGTCTTTATTTGGCTACTGCTTTTCAAAAAACCTAGCAGACTAATTTTTTACTTCAAAGTCAACTCTGTCTTTTCTTTGGACCGTAATGTTGCATTACTCGTAATGACCCATCCTAAATTGTTCAAAGCACAGAGTAGATCTAAGGTCCACGGTTCCATTTATCGAACGTTAATTACGTATAAAAACTACTCGCAATTGGATTCACTCTCACACTGACATCAAACAGAGCCGGATAAACGCTCGACAATTAATGTGGGCTTAAATATTAATCTCGACACAATCCACGGTGTTTACACCTGGTGGTTAATCGTGGGTTTGACAATCATTCAAACTCCTGATTGTCGCCTGTGCGCTGAGTGACCACTTGTTCGTAGGTGTAGAGGGAGGCTTGCCGGTGTATGTGGGGAGGTGAGGGAGGTTGAACACAAATCGCTTTAGGTCAATATATCGGCGCAGATCTTTGGGGATCCACATTGGTCCAGGTAATACGCGTGCGCGTAAACGCTGACTGCCGGGATGTTTGGCGGCATCCGGTTTCGGATTTGCCTGTCACTGTGGCCAGCCGCAGGACGCCTGTGCCTACAGAGGGACCATGGATGGTTTGCGCTGCACCACCCACAGCTCCATCCACACACCCCATATCCAGTGTAAACCCGAAGGAATAAGACCAGGAGGCATGCGGATGGGAGCCACATTTCATCAACGGAGCCGGCCCACACTCCTTCACAGGCAAACACAAGCACGCTGTATTTGAGAAATCAAGTGCACACAAGGCAGTGGCTGGACCGTAGTTCGCTCCACACTGAGTGCATGGAATCACTTTTCGAGCCTAGCACGGCCAGAACGACCGTGCACCCCGTCTCCTCTACCAACGACCAACTGTCTCCTGGAGCCAGTATGGACGAGGTAGTGGGTAATAGACAGGTAGGCACCTTATCAACATGCACATCAAGCGCAGCCACATCTGGGATATCTAGCAACAGGCAATCACTTGAAACGACAAGATGAAATAAAATAAATCCAATAATGCATGCAGATTCGGTGACATAATTTCGCTAAATTAGCATATGAAGTAACTTGGTAGCAATGAATCCGCGATAAGGAAAAAGTGTCCACAAGTTACTTAAAAATGCTACAAACGCAACAAAATTACCGAAGGTAAGCGCAATTAGCGTAAGCAACGTGGCCAGTTAATGGAAGATTATTCACGTAGGCAGAACAAACTAAATAATGTGGAATGAAATTTATCCAGCTTAAAATGACCCAGTTTAAATTTAAGTTGGTTTAGCCCAACTGCCGTGAAGAAGCATCAAGAATGCAACATCAGCCTCAGTATGGGGCACACATACATACATGGTTAGCAGCATCAGGTTTCGGATTTGCCTGTCACTGTGGTCAGCCACAGGACGTCTGCGCCTACAGAGGGACCATGGGTGGCTTGCGCTGCACCACACACCCCATATCCAGTGTAAACCCGAAGGAATAAGACCGGGAGGCGTGTGGATGGGAGCCACATTTCATCAACGGAGCCGGTCCACACTCCTTCACAAGCAAACACAAGCAC